ATTAGCCGAGGTTGCTCTGCCGCTCTGCCTTACGAGTCCATTTTAAATAATAACTTGGGTATGAAACATGTTGACGCTCGGCTAATCCCAAAAGACCTGATTTGTTTTTCAAAAACTCAATCGCATAAGAGCTGTTAAAGATATACTAGATCGAGTCAATTTAGACCCGAAATTCATGAAATGTATTTTCATTGGTTATGAGATACTTAATTTTAAAATAATCCTCAAATCCATTATCCTATTGTTAAACACGTATCGCACAACTAATCAAATAAGATTAATGTAAGAAATAAAAATATATGTAAACACGAGCCCACTGGATGCCTTTGATCTCTCAGCACTCAAAGGATACATAATCTACTTACCACGATTGAGTGGACCCAACGTCGTCAATATAGAAAACTTGTGTAGAGAAATATCAAGACATTCTTCATTGAAGTGTGTTTGAATAGAGAGTATTCATGTCACGAGCTTCTATTACTACATACTTAGTTTACACTATAATAATAATAATAAAAAAAAACAAAAATAAAAGAAATATAGACGGCCAACTACTTAATAACAGAACAGAGGTCATTAAAAGGTAGGCAGAACACTTCTAAGAGCTACTAAACAAACCTCCATCAGTTGCTACTCATATCGAGGAAGCCGAAGCTCCACTTAATCATCAATGGCAGGAAGTGGTCCGATCGTCGTTGACACCAGGGCTGCCAACCAAAAAATCAAAAACAATAAAGCTCCAGGGAAAGACAACATCCCAGTTCCAGTTTGAAGAGGAATTCCATAAACTAGAACTGCATTTTATTAGTAAACTTTTTAGATTTTTAAAATTTTGTTAGATTATGAAAATTCATTAATTTTTAAAACTGACTTAAGATTTACGACTTGATTTAGTCGTCTGTTTCCATGAAATAGTAAATGTATTCAATCTGTCAACTCTCGTAAAATTTAAAAATAAACGCGATACTCAACTGTTGTAAACGTGTTTTCAGTCATGTGAAAACCCTTGAGATATACGCACCAACTTTATTATTTACTAGTGAAACTAGGTCACTCTTTGCTTTGAATATTGGGTAATATTAAGATTTTCAGCCGTTCGAAATACACCCATATATTCACACTTTGTCGTGCATTGATGGCATTATGACAAAACCTTTAAGAGTGCTAACAAAAAGTGTAAAAGGTTAAAATTCAATCGGATAAAATATGCGTGAGCACATAGTTCACGAACAGTCAAATTAAACTATAAGTTTTATGTTATATTTAAGATTTCTTGGCACGTCTTAGTATAAAATATTTTTGGTCAAGATTATAATCATATAAGATTAAAGAAATAGTAAAAGATATCTAATATAAGATGATTTAGAATAATGTGAATACTGTTTTAAATTGTTTTCCTTTAAAATGTTACAAAATGAAATCTAATCTAAGCGAATCGTTAAATTACCAGATTTCATCGAAAAACGTGTACCAAAGCTTAAATTAACCCAAACAGAGTCGGAACAGACACAGAATGCCAATCGCAAAGACTAATTACACCCGTTATCATGTCGTATCATCTGTTTAGACAACAATAAATCTTGTCCAGCAGAAACTATTTATCTTCAAAGCGAACATTAACTGGGATTTGTGCTATATTGATTACCGGTTCTCATGCTCCAAGATCGGATACAGCGATTAGATTACCCAGAACAAAAGGTTTACATAATGTCTCGTGTTGCAATAACAGAGATCTGGATATGATTTGGATATGATTTTTGAAATTAAATATATGAATAAATGGTATTTTAAATTAAAAGTGCACTTATTCTAAAAACACTAGAAACTCAAGAAACTGGATCCTCAGAAAATACTAAAAGGAAAATTACAAAAATACGTATGCATCCTAAATGAAGACAGTATAAATCGTATCATAGTATTTTTTTTAACAATAAAGTAAACCAAATTATGTTTTTCATTCGAAGTTCATAAGCTTTATATCATATTCATTCGCTTGATCATAATGAGCTAGCTATACTCAATTGTTTTTCTAGATGTGATCCATTCTTGTAGATCCAGTTACAATGTGTAACTATGATAAGATCCATTTACTGTAATTTGAGGGATTGAAGACATATAAACGACTACACTTTGGAAATGAATCACTTCTATTTTTCTAGTTTTGAAGTTAGGATAGTGGCGGATTGATACTCTTTAACTTTCAAATCTCAGTGCTATCATTGTAATTTGTCACTAGTTATTAAACACACTTACTGGTGGTAGGACCTTTTGTGAGTCCGCGCGGGTAGGTACCATCACCCCGCCTATTTCTGCCGTGAAGCAGTAACGCGTTTCGGTTTGAAGGGTGGGGCAGCCGTTGTAACTATACTGAGACCTTAGAACTTATATCTGGGTGACGCATTTACGTCGTAGATGTCTATGAGCTCCAGTAACCACTTAACACCAGGTGGCCTGTGAGCTCGTCCATCCATCTAAGCAATAAAAAAAAAAGTTAACAATACAACGTCTATCGCTTGGCTAATTTTTTAAAGCTGTCTATTGGCAGACGCACTCATAGTCTAACGGAAATTAATTGTAGTCTATAGACATCATAAGATGAATATTGCCCCCCCCCCACTCTGAAATTAAAGTTCGAAGTTTCGATTGTAGAATATAACACCATTAAAACTAAAATAAGCTCTTTGAACTGAATCTTACCTTGAGATTTAGAAACAATTATTCAAACCCTGTGCTGTGATTTAAGATATTAATAACCAATGCTTGCAATGCATGAGTAATTAAATTAACAATCGTTTGGTCTAATTTTTTAGCGCAATCGTCAGAGTTCATTGAAGAATAATAATGATATCACTGTAATAAAAACGTTCCAACTTCAGACGTCCAAGATTCATTGCAAACGAAGTTAGTTCCAAATAAAACAAACAAAAAATGTCTTAAATATAAACGAGCTTCCATGAAGACACTCGACTCCAGAGTAAGGTAATTAATTAGTTTAACTTTAAGCAAAGAAAACTTCTGTTTATCAGTGTCCCCAGCAGTTTCCAATTGATTAAGAAAGCGTAAAGTAAAGATAACTTTAGTTAGCTTAGTGAGATCAATTTTCAGTTTAAATTTACGAGATTTTGAATTAAGATTTTATTAACGTTTTTTTTTATTTTTTTTATTGCTTGGATGGACGAGCTGACAGCTCACCTGGTGTTAAGTGGTTACTGGAGCCCATAGACATCTACATCGAAAATGCGCCACCCACCTCGAGATATAAGTTCTAAGATCTCAGTATAAGTTACAACGACTACCCCACCCTTCGAACCGAAACGCATTACTGCTTCACGGCGGAAATAGGCGGGGTGGTGGTACCTACCCGTGCGGACTCCCAAGAGGTCCTACCACCAGTGAAAAGGTTTTCTCCTGTCACCTTAATATTGCTTAAAAGTTAAAGTTTCCAATTTCTTTACATTCAGTATTGAAGTTCTCAAACGGAAAAATATATTTCCCAAATATTTACATATGTTATAGTCTTTGTACAGTGAATCTGTCAAAGTAACAAAGTTTTTAATGGCTTGACGAAAAGAAAAATATACCTAAGCACCCTTGTTTGAAATTTAATGGATAATAATATTATAATAATAATATTATAGTAAGGAAAGTTACTAGCACACATTAGTACGTACCATGATTATGCCTATTGCTACCAGGAAGCAATTATCTTCTCGAGTTGAAGGACACGAGAGCCTGTATACGAATGATATTTGTGATAGTTTCGAGAACCAATAAAGTATATTATAGTTAGAGTATAATATACTTCATTAATTACTCGAAAGTAATAAATTACGAACGTAATAGTACAAAACTACGATAGGAAAGTTAGTGTTAAGGTCAATAAAAGCACGAGATAAAAAAAATCTTCATCTTGGTACAGACAACAGATTAGTGACTTTTGAAGCCTGTTAAGAAGATTAAGTTATAAGTCTTATATATCGACAGTACACCTGATTTATATTAGTATATCATATCAAATTTATTAAGTCACGGAATTCATAAAATATAGGTATAAACACAATGTAACATTAAATTGAATGTATGGAAAGAAAGGAAGGAAGCCATTTTTGAATAATATACTGATCGAGTCCCACGCAGGAATTTTAAAGGTAATAATTATCTTTAATTAAATTTTTTGGTGTTTGATAATTCCAGCTCGTTGTTGCGATCGGAGCTACTGTATAATCATCTAGGTTCTACACATGTGTTTATATTGAAAAGAACGGTGCATAATTAATTAGGTAAAGTTTAATTTCCTAGCAATTTTATTATTCAATAAGAACACTATGGATTTTCGGAAGAAATGTTTGGATCTAATAATTTTCGAGAGTAAAAATCTGTACAGCTATTATTTTAAATTGTTAAGTTTAAAAGACGACGCCACCTTGATAATGTGTGAGGTCATTTAAGATCAATGCATTTATATATTTATATAAAAATTTTAAAAATACATTAAGCCCCTTATACCAGATAACCGTATGTGAGTGGCATCATATGATGTAGTTGGGATTTAAAATAATTTGAAGGACTATGTTGAAAAATGTTTGAAGTCTTAAGTTAAATTTTATTACCATGTAAGGTTTGATAGATGTATTCGATTGTCATTACAAGACATCGCTTAGGAAGGTACTTTAACTACTTTTAAAATTAGAAAATCTTTTTACATTTAAAAATGCAAACGTAGCTTCTGCAAATGCAATCTGTACAAACATCTTCTTTCAGTAAAGTAACATTCACTGAAACTCAGATGGCAATAGCATTCTAATAGCAACATAATTGAAATACAGTTTGAGAATTTCAAGAGCAAACAAAAGCAATGATACATTTTGGAGAGAAGATAGGATGTTTATTGAGTGAATACTAAAAATCGATTTACCAGTATTTTATTACTAATACTACAAAACTAAAAAGTAAAATGTATAATAATTGTTGATAAATAAAAAAATGGATGGCCTTTTAACCGAGACGACCGACGGTCGCCCCTCCGGGATCTCGTGGTCTGACATGTCGAAATTTGCATAAGCCACCATTACACTTAGCGCGTCTCTAACGAAGAAGACGCTCGATTTATTCGAATCGAGAGATTTAGCTGTATCAAGACTTAAATCTGAGAACCGGCACAATTATTTAAATTAAATATCATACATATAATTAAGAAGTGCTCACGAATTATTTTTCACGATGAAGAAATAGCGTCGTGTTAGAAAATCAAATCGGAATGTTTTTTTAAGTTTACGTCATGATTGATGGTAGGCTGTAATTTGAGGCCATTGAATTGCATATTTCTTCCACGAAGCAATCATGCGTTTCGATTTTATGTGTGGGATACGCATGGTAATACAATTGAAAGTTCGAACCCGCGTATCAAGGTGGGTGGCAACGTTTACGTTGTGATGCCTATGGACTCCGGTAAGCACTCAACATCAGATGAACCGTGAGCCCGTAAAGAAACACCGCTATTGATTACCGATTTACTTGAAACTTCCCCTGTTATAAAGGCAGCAATAACTGTGAACCATCTGTGTTTTTCCCCTCATCGGGGTCTAAAGCAGACATCTTATCGGCATAAGTTTTACTTGTTGGCGTAACGACAACATGCGATTTAAGGAAAGCGCACGATCAATCTTCTGTTTCCAGTTTCAGGACGAACAATACCTAATTGTCTGGATTCAATAGAACTTTAGATAATCGAATTGCAGTTTTGATTAGTAATATTGAATCACTTTGAACTATTATAGAAATTTTCTTCTTCTTCTCAATCGTGTCACTCTTGACAGAGTGGTCGTTATCGTCATGTGGTGTTACAGGGGGCAGACTTGACGTGTCTCACGGTGTTCCGCTATCCTTCCCAGTTCGAAACTATCCTACTGCACTCATTTAGGGGACCTCCCACTATATGGAAACACTAATAGTATAAATACATTAAAGATTTGATATTTAAAAAAAAGAAGCTAATTTATACAGATATATAAACAATTAAAAGCGGAAACAGGTCTACTAATAGAAAAAAAAACAATTTAATTATGTATGTTAATCAAATGCTGCATTCTCGTAACCGATGAATACAAAGATTGATTGAAACATTTTAAAAGGCAAAATGTTATTTCCCTATCAAGGGAAAAGGGGCTTGTGACACCAAATAGCTTTTAGATTAAAAGCCGCCGGTCACGACTGACGAGTGTCCCCGGGGCATCGACGCTGATGCCTTGTACCGATGCATCATCTAAAAATAATTTTTCAATATCCTAGCCAAAAAGACACATATATGGAAAAAAATTCTATTACTAGTTTTTTATTTTATCTAGGTAGCAAATTTGAAACCAGAAAAAAAACTTCACAATGCTCGCAACTCTGGACTTAGCGCTCTGAATTTAACGTGAGATGAAATGAAAGGGGAAATATCTGAAATTCGACCTTTTGGTATGGATACTTATACATATATCATTATCTATTCTATACATATTGTATCTATCATTTTATATTACATTCGGTTTCAACACCGGCGTGTATAACATAACTATGTACTGTACGTAATACGCGAAGAAAATACTTTGTACTTTTTTAACGCGTACAGAGGATTATGATATAACCATCGATCGATGGATATAACGGTCAAAGTTACATGTGGACAAGGAGGATACTGATAAATTAATGTAAATGTTATTGTTTGGTCAACAACAAATAAATCTGGTCGTATATATATAATTAATTAACAAAGAAGCGTTTCTACTTCGTCATCGTCAAATTAATGACACAGTTCTTTTTTTGACTGATCCATGCGGTGACATATGGAAGTTTCAATGTTCCATCCCCCTACTTGATATAGTGGCAAAAGTTTTTCAAGTGGGGCGTAAAATAGTTTGCTTTTTCTTTCGTGTGTCTTAATCTTTCGTCTAAAAGATCACTTAGTTGAAACCTTTCAAACATTTCGCAAAACTAAAATAGTGTAAAATTATTGAAACTTTATTGGTAAATAGGTAGATTGCTATGTATATGTATATCAAAATCTCAAAAGATATTTCGATATGTGTAGCAATTTGCTATATTAAAAGGCAGCGGTCTCTGCCAAACATAATCGTACAGATCACAAGGCTAGTAGTCTCACTCATGCTTGTCCGCAGTTGGCGTTTATGGGCCTCATTTTGCACTGACTTTTGGTTTTAATTTTAGCCAGTTGCCTTTCTAGCGTTTCTTTAACGGTCAAAAATAAAAACCACAAAAAAATACATTTCAGGACTTATTAAAACAGTATCAAAATAAAGTTATTGAATTCTCCGTGTTGAAATGGTTGGAAATAACATGAATGAGTAATAAATTTTTTTTGAAGTGTCATTGACCTAACTTATAGCCCAGTAGCGATGTTCGTAAGCATAGCGATCGGAAAATATGTAAATAAACGAGATCGTTCCTAAGGATATACAAATATTACCAGTAATGTTAAATCCTCTTATATACAATGTCAGGGCGTCCTCGCCTAAAGGTAAAATACGTAAATCGGATTTCAGTGGGATATCGAAAATATTTTGCGAGTTACACCAGGCTACCCACAGCCCGCGGGACCTACATTATACCGAATAAATATTGCATAGCTTTAGAATAAGTATTTGGCTTTGAAGCTTAGCCATTTGCCTAATGCTAGAAGAGATAAATATCCATTACTAATGATTGGTGAAGGAGCTGTTTCATATACAAAAATTAGATAATTGTAATACAAGATTTTAACAAAAAGAAAACCTACTTCAGTAAAATAAAATGAGAGCATCATTCAAGACCACATGAGACGCACTAACTTTCAAATAAAAAAAGAAGCCGTTTAAGTTATGTTAATATTAGTTGGGACGAATGTAACTTGAAAATTTCTCCAAACTTTTAAATTATTATTATACATGGCCGGGCGAATATATGTAAAGTTGTTTATTAAGTACTAAATGAAAATATGCAGTTTATCAAATATTTCTTGTGATTATCCTACAGTATTAAGTTATTTAAATATCAATATGCTACAAATAATTCTTAATTTAAATAATTTATGTCGAATTTAAATGATAAAGGGATATTTAACCACGATATTTTATTAAGTTGAGGACCATTTAAGTTTGAAGGCCACGAGGAGGTCGGCGATTAGATTTAATTTGAAAGCCAGTTACGGTTGTCAAATGTTTGTACAATGGTCACTTCAGAACCGGCTTCGTGAATTGAAAATTAGATTATTTAAGGTGCCAGTTTTGCTTTTTTTATTTTATACGGTTTATATAGACGGGACAATATTTTAGTTGATTTGGATGTATTGTAAATAAATAAAAATAATCACTTCTTTCGATTCTTAATTTTTGTAATTTTAATATATTATGTATTGATATTTGTGAGGTCATGAGATTTGACTGCATTTTTCTACTAACTGTACAACAATTAATATATTTTTTGTTTCTAGGGCCTAAAAAATGTTGACCTATTTTTTTTTCGATAATTATATAGAAAAAACAACTACACATTTTCATAAGCTGATATTGAATCACAACAATGATTTTGATTATTATACGTCAACAAATACTGCTCACATTCTTGGGTAATACAAATCGTTTTCCTCCCCGCAATTCTTTGCAACTTTACACGTGTTGGCGACAACAGAAAAACACAGATGTAACAAAACGGTATATGAATGTTTGTCGGCGCTCCGAGCTGTTTGCCCACAATTACGTAGGTGGCCGAGAGCCCTCATCCACGGGAAAATTGTTTTCCTCTCGAAAAGGTTCGCGCAATAAGGGCCGAAGTTATAGGCTTTTACCTTTCACTCGGAAACGTAACAGGATTGCTTTAGTTTTAATAGGATTATTCTGGAGCGAAGGCTTAAAGAATAATCTCGTGCTACGGTTTTACAATTTAATTTCGTGACACTTTTCTTATTAAGATCAATAATATAATAAAACTAGCTGTACCCGTCCGCTTCGCTGGGCATTTAAAATGAACATTATTATTTCTCACCCCCACAAAGATTCTCATCATTGACGCCCCCGCCACTGGAGTAGGAGGTCCAACATTCATATAAATATGATCCTATCCATTAAGTACATGTATTTTATACATGGATACCAAGTTTCAAATCAATCGGATCCATGGTTCAGTAGTTATAACGGAACATCCGTAAAAACCACTGTAGATTTATATATTAGTATAGATTTATCACATTGGTGGTAGCGCACCTTGTGAGCCCGCGCGGAAAAGTACCATCACCTTGCCTTTTTCTGCCGTGAAGCAGTAAAGCGCTTCGGTTTGAAGGCTGGGGTAGCCGTTCTATTGTAAAAACTGAACTTAGAACGCATTCCTCAAGGCGGGTGGCGGCATTTACGTCGTTGATGACAATGGGTTCCGGTGACAACTTAACAACAGGTGAGCTGTGAGCCATTCCACACATTCAAGTAATATAGAAAAATTTAAATATTTTCATCTAAAATACTTATTGATTGTAAATTGATTTAATACTAATCAGTATCGCTTATTTTTTAATAAAAATTAATTTCTTGAAATTACCAGAGCGGTACTTGTCGCACGTCGGTCGTTCTATAGTTATATGTGCTATTGCACATGTGCTATTTTGATCTATAAGGTTTTAAATTGTGTAGTTTTAGCAAAACTCGTCTCCTAGTTAAGTTTTTGCGCGAAATATTGACAAACATCGTAATTCACAAACTTTCGCATTCAAAATATGAGCGGGGCTTTAAACCTTAGAGTTGGAACTTATAAAACTTAGACTTAGACATAACATTCTTCTGTTAGATATAACAGAATAAGAAACGATCAGGTTTTTATATGGTAGCTTAGTAGTTGATTATGTATTTCACTAGACTCTGATCAGATACGTTAATATGTATAGACACATATGTTTATACAAATACACATGCCGGAGTGACCGGCAATATAATCACATTCGTTGCCACTAATTGTGGGCTAAATTCAATAATTCGGTCGAGAAAGTAGTGTTCTTGATATTTAGGATTTTACAAATGATCGCGACACACTAGTGTGTATCGATACACGATGTATCGTTTCTAGATTAACTACGATCCATTCAATAATAGCACAGAACACAGTCTAGGGTCGAGTTGATGGGGTTACCATCTTTTTATGATTTTGCAAAAGATTACCGACCAATAAATCATAATTTTTTGAGACCGCTGCATATATGATTTTTATTAATTTATATTAGATGTGATTCTAATAAAATTGCTGCTAAAACATGAAGAACTGAAAAAATTGTAATTGCCTAGATTAAAATAATTAATCCGCAAAAATAATGGCCGCGTGTGTTTGAAAGCGAGTTGCATAATCGCCCTTCGCACAGTACGCGATCACTTCCGTCGCTCAAAACTGTGGAGTGGTAAGAGTAGAAGAGAAATTGAGGCCCTAAAACTGAAGCCTACTGCTGGTAGGACGTCTTGTGAGTCCGCACGGGTGAGTACCACACTGCCTATTACTGCCGTGAAACAGTAATGCCTTTCGGTTTGATGGGTATGGCAGCCGTTGTACTTTGAAAACTGAGACATTAGAACTCATGTCTCAAGGTGTGTGGCGCATTTACGTTGTAGATTTCTATGGGTTCCAGTAACCACTTAATACCAGGTGGGCTGTGAGCTCGTCCACACAAATAGGCAATAAAAAAAAGATCACGTGCTGTCTAACAACAAAAAATTTCGACTATATTTTAAAATATTAGAAAATAGCCACTTGATACAGTATGGGTTTACCTTTTCTATTTCATATCAAGTTTCTCGTTAATTAATAATATTTTGTTAATAAATTATATTCAAACAAGACTGACATCAGAATAGAAGTATTGTTTACTTTGTAATGTGTAATTCAGCCGTTAAGATTTCCTTTAACGCTTGATAGCTACTAATCCATCAAACAAGGCGTTTTGAAACAGATGATTAAGCAACGTAGCTACTTTTGTTCAACCCTTTGTGTTATCCGAAAACGTTATCCCCTTGTTAATGTTGCTCTCGCAGTGTTGAGGTGCGATTTGTTTAAGTGCAGAACACAGAGGAGGATTTGGAGTTTCCAATTTATTATTTACTCGAGTGTGAACTCTATTAAAATTGTTCACATTCTAATACTCTGTTTATTTCAAATAATTATTTGGTTAATTTAAATTTATGGTCTCATAATGTTAAGTGAATCAAACTTAAGAACACTTTCGTTGTTGTGTTTGTGGAAGATGTGAATGATGTTTGGTTAATTCTTAAGCTTAAGATTTAAGAATAACAACAGCTTTCACCTTTTGTTGTTATGCCGTCAAGCAGAACAAAAGATATGCGGAGAAATTGAAAATTACTAAGACTATGCCTTCGATTTCTTTATTGAAGACTGTAATTCACTGCGCAATTCTAGTTTTATTTGTGAAGGAATTAATATAATATATAAATATTATCTACATATATTCTTCTAATAAAATGGTGAATTTTTGAAAAGCTTTGCCATAATTTGTTTTGATAATTAAAATTAAGCCAAAATTGAAAATCTAATTTGTCTCTGCTTATTTTCGCTTTTCTTGGTTAAGAGTAACGGTCCCTTAGGAGCTTTTGAAAAGGGTGGCCGTAATACAAAATAAAGAAAAGAATATTATTATCCTATTTTGTAAAATTGCTACGAAATTGATAACCAGGGGAGATGATGGTGGAATTTTTGGTCCCTAAGAGTGACTAATAAAAAATGAGTGAACAACCAGATATCAAAAAGGAAATGTTGTATTCTTATTTTCATTATCCATCCTTTCAATATTAGAGGTCTAAAGTGTTCAATCAATCAACATGAAAATTTGCATAAAATTGTCAAGAGTTCAAGATAGAACATAAAGGATTGGCATTTAAAAAAAAAAAGTAATCTCGAAAGACATTAACACGAGTATAGCCAGAGATAAAAGCTAGTATAACAATAAAAATAAATCTTCACGACTTGTTGATTTACGTTAGGTAAAAAAAATCACTTGAAGTTGATTTTTTTATTCTTAAAAAACACTTCTCTAAAACATCAGTCTTCAGTAGAAATATAAAGATATTATATATATAAGAAATAAAAATGTTATACGTCAAGTTATTTAAAAAGACTTAGAATATTATGCCTACGCTGTAGTAAATACATTATTTGAAATTCATACTTGAGTTTATACGAGTATAATACATATAATATTTGAAAAAATTATATAAACCTATATATACCCCTTATATAAATCTATTTTGGCTCACGCACGAGTTGTAGCTGCCTGGTCATTAATATATCAAACGGAGTAACACTATAATATGACATTCCGTACCTACTAAAAGTACCAAATAACTCTAAAAATAAGCGTGATGTTTATAGTCCGTTTATACTTCAATATTACGTCCCATTTTCAGAGCTCAGTGTCAGCAAAGAGGCAAGTTTACATTGGACGTGTAAGATCGCGCACGCATTGCTCGCGACAACGAAAAAAAAAATTGTTTCGATTGTCGAACGTATTTGAATTAAAGGCGGGAACTAGAATGTGTTCTTGATTTTTTTTATCTGTTGTTTATTTCTGTTACCTATATTAAAATATTGTGTTTTGGTTTCTTTACAATGTTTGGTACGGTGTCGAGTATTATTATATCAGTGATCATTGCCGTGTTTATCGGGTCGAAAGGTAAGGTCATCTTTATTTGTGTCAATCAAATAACTATCTTAATGCTAACTACTATTAAATAAAAAAAATTAGTAATGTAATACTACATGTTTTTTTATTATTTATTAGGTATTTAATATTTCCAAAATATGGGATTTGAAACAAAAAATTATTCACACGCTTGCATTTAAATATATTAGACAAGTATTAGACATTTGGTTCCGAGTACTAATATAAATAGGTTGAATAAAAGCTTGATCACCATTAAATTAAATAATTTTCTCATTCAAACAAAATTATAATTGTGACATAATAAGTCGATCAATTACAATATAACCTTCAAATTGTCTTGTTTGTATGAGTGTGGTTTGGTTAGTTAACCACATAGATACTATCGATGCGAAAATAGCTTTGCTCTTAATTATATCATTATTCATCAACGCTTTGTAAAAAAAAAAAACAATAAAAAAACAAAATCCTTGACTTGTGGTGTTATAAACGAGTGAAACAAATTGCACGACTGTTATTTTGTTTTTATTTAATTAATTACCCTTGAACTAACCTATACCTTGTCAACTTTTTTGAATTGAACTCCATCCGGAATGTTTATAGCTCCAGTTGTTTTTACCAGTGCGCGTTTCTATACTAATATTATAAAGCTGAAGAGTTTGCTTGTTTGTTTGTTTGAACGCGCTAATCTCAGGAACTATTTGTACGACTTGAACTTTTTTTTTCAGTGTCAGATAGCTCATTTATTCAGGAAAGCTGTAGGCTATATAACATCACACTAAGACTAACAAAAGCGGAGCACCAATAGATAATGATTCAAAATCGGGGTATTTTTCCTTTTTGAGAGCTTCCGCTGCGTGCGCTGCGGAAACGGTTAAAGTTTCCCTAAAATAATGTAGGTATATCAAAGTTGTTCCCCTTTAAAAGTTCTAAAAAAAGTCCGTGACACCTTATGTCTATATATTAAGGTTGGTTCATTATAACGTTTTTTATGTTTAACAAATTTGTTCTAAAATAAAGCATTATTTGTGAAGGTGTTTTTATAAAGATGATATTAATCCTTATCCAAATAAATATGTTATTCATTACAACATTGAAACACCCACATCACTTGAAGATAGGCTTTGACAATTATAAATTTTTTATGGATTTCTCCAAAATCCCATCATCAGAACTTCCTCCTGGACCATTCGGGAAGTCTACCCTTTCAAACAAAAGAAAAAAGAAGAAATTATCAGAATCAGTTAAAGCATTCTCGAGAAATCGGTGAACATAAATAGATTGTCATAGATAAAAAAAATGGTCGTCTTGATAACTTCCTCTTTTGAAGTCGGTTAAAAAGCTTGATTTTGGTATCTTAAATAGCTCCTTAATATTCTATTATTCAAAAATATTTTCACTTTTTACGTAAATGAAGAGGGAAATTTAGCGTTATGCCTAAGTAACTATTTCACGCGGACGAAGTCGCGGGCAAAAGCTAGTTATGAATAAGAAAAGGGACTGTGAGGGATATGTTGAGCTTAAAGGTGGGAAACCTGTGATACTATACAGTTTTGAAGTCGTCATGGCCTAAATGGTCATGGTCGCTTCGTACATTTGCATCGAGAGATACGATTGAGCCAGTGTTAAAATCCTACAAGCGGGTATCATTTTTTATATAAAATACGTGCTTAATAAATGTTCCCAAATCTACGGTGAAAAATTATCATTTGCTTCGTTACTGGTCTACCACCACTAGTTCTGCTGTGAAGCAGTAATGCGTTTCGGTTTGAAGGGTGGTGCAGTCGTTGTACCGTAAAATCTGAGACTTAGACCCATGTCTCAAGGTGGGTGACGACATTTATGTGGTTAATGTCAAGGGAATTTAGTGGTCACATAACACGAGGAGAGCTGTGAGCTCGTTCACCGATTCTAAGCTATGCAAATAACATGAGCCCTTATTACTTAATACTAGAGGTGCCTTCACCATGTGTATAGTGCATTAAAAATATCCATGTATCCGTGTATTTATTTATTTATTTTATACTTTATGCACAAAACAAAAGTTGTACACAGGCGGACTTAATGCCATGGGCATTCTCTTCCAGTCGGCCATAGGGTGGTGCAGAGATAATGCATGGTAGGTGGATTAACAAAAGAATAACAACAACAAAAAACAAAAAAAAGAACAAAATGTATATGTGCCTCTATCTTTATCTCTAAATCTGAGGTAACTAGTAATATACCGACCAAATATATCACCAAAAAAAAATGAACAAGTTTGTAGAGTCCAAATTATATTTGCGGTTGTCGAACTTATCTACTGGTTTAATCAAGGTCATTATTGTTACAAAGGCTGAAACATTTTTTGTGTTAACTGTCCAATTGCAACCCAATTGAGTCTTATTTATATTAATTTAATGTTGATGATGATAGACGCGCTTGTAGGCGTAAGCTTTGATGGCTTTAACAAAAATGTCTTGTAACCTTAAAGTATTTTACACTCAGACAGAAAAAATCAGCGTTCAAGGTAACTTAATTAATGGACACTATGCTTTTTGTGAGCTCCATTGATGAGATGTATAATTATTAAGCGAGTCAAAGCTGTTTCACGCATTCAAAATGTTTTCAACCCAACTTTGTTAGTATTTATGCCCACTGAGTTTCTCGCCGGATCTTCTCAGTGGATCGCGTTTCCGATCCGGTGGTAGATTCTGCGAAGCACTGCTCTTGCTAGGGCCGATGTTAGCAACACTCCCGGTTTGAGCTCTGAGAGCTCACCTACGCGTCAAAACGAAGCTGAAATAGCCTCTCAAGGCCATTAGCAAGAGTAGGAAAAAAAACACTTAACCTATACATCAGGCCGCTGAGTCTCTCACCGGATCTTCTCAGGGTGTTACGATGCTAAATAACAATCTTCAAAAAAAACCAAGAACGCGTCCTTTTAACATGCCCAGTGGTGCTATTTTAAGAATGTAGATATTATTTAAACATTAAACTTGGTTGTACTTAATTTTCAAATAAGTCGAATAAACTGAGAACCGGTCGGTTTCTACCTTTGTGTGAAATACCAAAGATTTTAACGTTGCGTATGTTTGAACGGCTATTTGCAGTTCGTATTAATTTTAAAAGTGTTTGCAAAGTATATAAATTTTAATATTAGATAAAACGATAGTGTGGTTCTCTGTTATACGTAATATCGTAGTAATGTGGATAAATCGTTATTTATGTTTGAGGTCAGATTGAGTAAATTTCATCAGCAATTACATATCTACGAATCTAATATGTGGCTCTGTTGACCAACTTCCACGATGAAGGAAACCCAGACCATTATATTTTAAAAGATTTATATGTACTGTTCTTAACAATGATAATATATCATATTTATATTAAGAATAAAACACTTTAAATTAATATATTATATTTAACAAAATTATATATTTGTATAATAAGAATAAAAGGCCGTTAAAGCTATAAGAATACTAACTACTTGTTATATTATGTCGAAGAAATTACGGTTTGGACTATTTAAGACAGCCGTTATAATGTACAATCGAGACTAAAGATTTTATGCCTCAAGTTGTATGATGACATTTACGCTTTGATGTACATGGGCTCCGGTACGTACGTGAGTCGTCGTCGGCTCGTTCCAATATCTAGGCAATACTAAAAAAAGTATATTTGAAACTCAATTTCAATACTATCGGATTTTGCCGTACGAAAATCCATAGATACAATCAACGTTTTCCATTTCGAGAACCGTTTTTTGAATGGGCAACGTTTGAGAACTATTCTGATAGCTTTAAATGCCGTTGTGGAATAAAGAGATATATATGTCGGCGCGCGCTTGGGATGGCTAAGCGGTAGTTTCCGTCATCACTCGTATTTGGTTGAACTCAGTTTATAAAAAGTCAATAAAACCTTTTGGATAATAATTATTGAAACTCAACACACACAACTTTCACAATGAAAGGGTAAACCGACAGTTTCGTTCCACATACCGACAGACCGACTGACTGACTGACTGACTGCCAGAGACTCACTGAGTAAGACGGACGGACCGTCCGATACGGACTGAATGACTGTCTGACACGGAACGCCACGACTCTGTCCACGTACCGCCATTTTATACTGTGGCGTTACCGAATATACCCTACATTTTGTGATATTTATCAAAACAACATTTCATCATTTAAAATAATAGTCAAAACAACGTCTTAATATTACTAAAAGTCGTTAACCACGACATATATTTTTTTACAGAACAAATAAAACTTTTCGTAGCAAAGGACGCCATTTCACCAACCAACCAACGCCAATCCAATGAATTTCAGGGCAATTACCGCCAAAATATTAATTGAAGTGTACGCTGAATGTCCTATTTGTGACCACCATGACACGAATGATGTGCGCACATAATTTTAGGAATTGGTAGCGTCACGTCTGTTAACGAGCTCAACTAGATGTTGACCGAACGCATCAAATTGTCGTTTGATGCATGCTGGTAATCTATTCTGTAACGCGCTATTCAATACGCGCATTAGTATCGCTTATTTTGAATGTCGACTTGTTTTGATGTAGTCGTGGCCCAAAGAATAAGACGTCCGGTGCATTCGTATCTAGCGTTGCACTGGTGTCCGAATCCCGCAGGCGGGTACCAATTTTGCTAATGAAATACGTATTAAACAAATGTCCACGATTGACTTCCACGGTGAAGGAATAACATCATGTAATAAAAATCAAACCCAAAAATTATAATTTGCGTAATTACTGGCGGTAGAATCTCTTGTGAGTCCGCACGGGTAGGTATGTACCACCGCCCTACCTATTTCTACCGTGAAGCAGTAATGCGTTTCGGTTTGAAGGGTGGGGCAGCCGTTGTAACTATACTGAGAGATTAGAACTTATATCTCAAGGTGGGTTGCGCATTAACATTGTAGATGTCTATGGGCTCCTGTAACCACTTAGCTGGGCTCATCAGGTGGGCTGTAAACTCGTCCACCCATCTAAGCAATAAAAAAAATGAAAGTTTT